AATACTCTACCTGAACTGGGTCCAGGTGGCTTTAAATGCGAGATAGTGTCCACAATGACTGGACGCTATCTTTCAAAAAAAGATCTTTTTCGTTGCACTTTTGCTGTGTGGATGCACTCTTTCGAAATAAGCTTTTCCAGAAGATCTCTTCTGGAAAAGCTTCTGCTGAAAAAAGCCTGCAGTCTAATCATATCCTCACTCATAACTCTCACCTGCCCCAAGTTTCCCCCGTACCTGAAACCCAACACAATATATCCCCTGAAACAAGGCCTCTTCCTTTCCCCCTGGAGCCAGTCTCTGATATTCCCTCCTGAACAAATTCTCATGATTCTCTTTCTCGTGCTCCATTAAATTCCCTGACTTAGTTATTTTCCTCCTTGTTGCAAACTCCTTCTCTATGACTCAATGAATTTCAATTCTCCCTTTACCGCTAAATATACACACAAAGAAAGAAACAATATGCCCCTACTCAGAGTTTGCAGCATCACTGTTATTAGTATTAAGTGGTTTGTGGTAGTAACTCCTACTGGCTCCAGTCTCTATTGCTGAAAATTGAACCAACAGAGAATAGCACAGGGGCCTTTAACAGAGGGAAGATCAGAGAGAAGGGAGCTGCTTTTTGCCGCTTTTGCGCAAAAACTTGCCAGCTGTCTACACTGGCCGCTTGAATTTGCACAAGAGCACTGACTTTGTAATGTACAAAAATCAGTGCTTCTTGTGCAAATACTTCCATGCTCCCGCTTGGGAAAAAGCCCTCTTGCGCAAGAATACTTGCTCAAGAGGGTGAGTGTAGACAGGGCAGAATTGTTATTGGGGCTTTCTTGCACAAAATCGCGTCTAGACTGGCCTCGGATGCTTTTGCGCAAAAGCACTTTTTGCGCAAAACCATCCTTTCCAATCTGGATGCTCTTTTGTGGAAATACTTTTAACGGAAAGACTTTTCCATTAAAAGTATTTCCGCAAAATCATGCCAGTCTAGACATAGCCCCAATGTCCGAGCCAGCCCTGAACACAGCTTGAGCTTGGCTGCACTTAAGTTTAAGCCATATTTAGTGCAGAGTCAGTTGCACCTGTGAAATGTAATTAGATCCCCATCAACCAGTGTAAGAATTTTATGACAAGAGCCAGGCCATTTGCACAGAAGACTGACAAAAAAAAAAAAAAAAAAAAAACCAGCCCCTTCGGTTGCCAGTAAATAAAAACTTTGATTCCAACATTAGTGTTAATATGTCTATCTTTAAACAAAGTTATAATTAAATATGAATACCTGTGTGTGGGGCAATCTTTAATGGGAAAGGTGATAGCAGTAACCTATAGCCAGCTTTGTGAAGTGTAATTTGTTGGAGGGGCAAGGTGAATGCTGATTGTGGTTGGTGGGTTTTTTTTTAATAATACTTATATTTACAGAGGTAGGTTGATATGAACATCGTTAAAAGCTAGATGGCCAGATCTGGCTATATTGAAACTGATCAGCAGATTGAGACCAGAAATCACAAAATCCCACTTCTCTCAATTTTGCCTTCAGGATATTTTCAGTGGCATTTTAGAGCCAGTCTACTAGGTCAGTGTTTCTCAACTTTATAACAAAATAAATAAATAAATAAAATATATAAGTAGCCCCAGTACCTACAGTTTTCAAACTCAGAGGTTGCGTCTAGACTGGCATGATTTTGCGCAAAATCTTCCCGCCTGTCTACACTGGCCGCGCGTATTTGCGCAAGAACACTGACTTTGTAGTGTACAAAATTAGTGTTTCTTGCACAAATATTCCAACACTCCTGTTCAGGGATAAGCCCTCTTGCGCAAGTGTTCTTGCGCAGGAGAGCCAGTGTAGACCACCACGTTAATTTCTTGCGCAAGAAAGCCCAATGGCTAAAATGGCCATCGGAGCTTTCTTGCACAAGACAGCGTCTACACTGGCATGGATACTTTTGCGCAAAAGCACATACCAGTATAGACATTCTCTTGTGCAAATGATTTTAACAGAAAAACTTTTCCGTTAAAAGTGTTTGCACAAAATCATGCCAGTCTAGACGCAGCCACAAATTTTTTTTCCTACCATTGCAGCACGTTTGTTTAAACAACTTAATCGTAGCTGATTAAATTTTTGGGTATGAAGTACAAAAATAAACAAAACTTCATTTTTCTCCAAATTTCAGTTGTGCTGATGTACCCTCCACCCCCAACTTCTCTCAAGTAGCCTCTCAGGGTACTCGTACCACTCGTTGAGAAACACTGCACCAGGTCAATGCCGGCAGCCACAAACAACGACACACACTGTTGAAGACTGCAAAATGACACAGCTTCCTGGAGGACTTTGTGCCTCCAACATCACTGATAAGAATGCTGTAGCTTGACTTGATTGAATTGCAGATGGTGCAGATTTCTAATAGTATTAAGCACAAACATTTTTCCTTGAAAATTTCACCATCATAAAAGTCTAACAGTGACAGCTTGGCAGTGTCACTTAAATTGCGCGATTCATTCACTGCAAGAGATGTACATTTGGCATTTTTAAAAACAGGAATGCATTACTCACAAGCAATCTTCAAATTCCTCCAGTCTTCATGCAGATGTGGAATCAGACAGGTGACCTTGTTTCATGTGGTTCACAGTGTGATCGTTCTTTTTATGTCCAGGAAAAAGCTCCTCCAGTATGCTCTTTTCACCAGCTCGGCATGCTGGAACAGCCACTTCTTTTTAGCTAGTACCACCATTACCCCCAAAAGAAACAGCTGCTGCTTTCCCTGGTCCTGTCCCTGCTGTTTGAGAATGACATTTGAAGTGTGTCACAAAGACTTCAGCTTTTCACTTCTGTCACATATTGCAATTGTAACAATCCCAGGAGGACAGGCCTTGAAGTTACTATGCTTTGATTTAAAGTGGCGCCTGCTCCCACTGATGATCTGACAACTGGATACAGTAGTTTGGCATACTGAGTGCAAACGTTTTGCGTTTAAGTGAGGTGGCATGATTAAAAGAAAATCCACTGTCCCATTTGGGTGAAAAGTTCAGTTTTCACTTTTGAATTTGTGACATTTACTCACTCATTCATTTCCGGCTCCATTTCCATACTAATGAAAAAATGGGCAGTCTCCTAGTTCAAGTACACAGTGCTTATTTTGTGCTAGGCCTGCCAGGGCTGAGTCTCCACACCTCTAGGCTTGGCAGTTCAAAGCCCTGGCACCTCTGTGTGCCTGGCCAGCAGCCATTGCTCTCCAGTCACCCAGCACAAAAGTAAGAGTAGCAATACCATACCATGGCATCCTTCCTTCTGCCCTGCTGTTGACAGGGGCACCTTAAGAGCTGGGTGCCTTGCTGAAGTTTATTTTTATGGACAGTATAGAACAAAATACAACCAGACTTTTTACAGACACTTTCTTACGTGATACACAGATGGCTCAAAGGACAAGAGTGAACGATATTCAACAGTTTTATTCACCCATCACAACAGCCACACCATTACGCTAGTTTAACCTGCTTCCTAGCCACAGCAATGTCCATACACTGTAGCAGCCACACTGTCAACCATTGCTTTAGTAGTTTTGCCTGGTCCATTTGATAGTCAATTATCCTTTCTACCTGCACAGGAGTGGACAGTTTATTTCTTCTGTTTATGTGACTGCCCCCCTGTGATTTACTGGTGGGGAGCCTGTGGGAGACTGCTGTATCCTCCTCCCACCATCAACCACCAGGAACCAGCAGGGCCGTATGCTGCACACACGCCCCCCCTAAAGTTGCTGCTGTGCAGCTATTAGCAATGCCAAAGAGGAGTTCAAAGCAGGAGGCAGAGAAGAGCAGTCTTTGCAGGTCAGAGAGCCCTATGAGAACGCCCCTCTCCACCCCTGCCCTGGGAAACAGACTCTCTGGAACTCCCCCCACCAAGCACAGAGCTCACCCCATGGCCTAGGGGGAGATACCAGGGACATTAAAAATCATTGAAAATAGTAACCATATACCCGCTACAAATCTTAGCGATTACAAGGTTACACGTGCTCCAGGCTCTACAGTAGAAAGCTGAGCTTAATACTGCAGAGTTCACAGCAAGGCTCTGCTTTGGCAGCAGGAGCTGGCTGAGTTTAACTGATACCATTAACTGACAAGCTGATGCAGATCAGTTAATCGCTTAATTTATCATCCTTAGGAGAGACTGCTCAGCTCCACTGCACAACTCAGTGTGGGTTTTTTTTTGTTTGTTTTGTTTTTACTGTCTGATTAAAAAAAAAGATTGTATGGACAGGTCCTATTTTAGCTCTTTTAAAACGGCCTGTCTGAATTTGACAGCTGGCAACCAGGCCTCCATAGAACACATGCAGAATAGCAGGATGACATTATCAGCCACTTCTGATTACATGCTTCACACCAAGACTAAGGGATAGTCACTGCCCTGTACCTGCAGCCGTTCTTAGCCTCCAGGGCCAATTCCTGAAGTGTCTGTCATGAGTAACACTGGAGAAATGAGCAGCAAATGCTGTTTGTGGTATGGACATCTCTCCCACAGATCACTGAAATCCAAACAAACACTTTTCTCCAATCAGCAACTAGTTAACTAACCGATTAGCATAAGCTGATTGGATAGTCAACTAGTCCCTCAAATAGTTGCTTCTCCCCCACCTTGCTGCCTCTATCAGCAGCAAGAGCTGGTACTGGCTTAAAAGCTAGTTCCCTCCAGCACTGTCTCCATGGGGGGCAGGGGAAGCAGAGGGGTAGCAGGGACTGGCTCTTAATACATTTAAAAGGCTGGTGCACAGCAGGAGGGGGAACGAGACCAGTGTGAGCCAGGAATTAGCTGTCCTGGCTTGTGCAGGGTCTCCCCTCCTGCGCACCAATGTTTTAAATGTGTTAAGAACCTACTGGCACTGGCCATTTTCAGAGACAGGATGCTGGACTTGATGAAGCAGCATGTGACCAAGTATGGCAGTTCTTAGATACAAACACAGGCCTTCAGACAACAGGACTACAGCCCAAGCACAAAATTCACTTTGTTTAGAGAAACAGAGTTCATTTTCCAATTTTTCTTGTTTAATTACCATTATTGCACCAGTACATTTTATGCTTTATATACATATATCTTTAATGTATGCTTCTTCAGCTTTTCAAATACATAATATATTAGCTCCAGAATACTAGCTAAGAGACTACACAGAGGGAGAGGCTCCCGGTTAGTTGCTAACTTCCTTAGTTTTGAAATGACTGGACCTACCACTGATATGGAAGATTTGAGCCAATCACCAGGGCACGTGGCCTGGTGTACAGAACACTGGGAGCGGAAGGGGTTAATGATTTGCACCCATCCACGTAACAAATGCATAGGAAAAAGGGAAGCCTCCGAGACAGGAAGCTCAAAACAACGAGGTTCAGGAGCAAATATCAAGAAGGGAAAATATAGTGGAGGGGGGGAAGAGGACCGGAATAGGCAGCTAATTCAAATACATCCAACCAAGCCAGCAGTCTGGTCCCCACTGCCATGAGTGGAACTGCAGCAGCTTTAGAAAGATATGGCATTCCCACAAGTGCTGTCAAAATAATTGCTGCTTCCCAGAGAGATGCTCCAAGTGCAAATTGGCCTCTCAATGCCCATGGTACCAGCAAACCTGCAGAGGTAGTCTACAATCACAACAGGAGAGAGGAAAAAAGAGTGGAGACTAACTGGAAGTACAAAATGTCCAATTAGCTGCTCCCTTTTTAAGAGTGCTAGCCCTGGTACTTTAAGGGTGGAGGGCAGAAACTCTACTATTCAGTTTTAATGCTTCCAGGGTTAAGTCCAAGCCTAGTGTTCTAGAAAGTGGATCCCAGGTACAGGAGGGTTGAGGAGACTGGCTACACTGCCAGGGACCCCACTGAAGCCCATACAAAGGAAGCAGGTAGGAGGGCCAGGCTTCCCTGGGTTTTTCCTTGTTAAACTATATTGCCATGAGAGTCTACTTGTTTTCACAAGGAAATACTGCTGGGGAGTAGTTACAAAAGCAAGAGGCTTAAAGAGCCTCCCACACAGAACAAGGGATGAGGTACAAGATCTTTGCCTCAGCAATTTTGTATGCCCTGAAGAAGGGCTTGGGTGACACAGGGGAGTTCAAAGACATTAAATCATCATGGCAACTAAATCCCACCAGGTAGAAGGCTACAGGGAGGGAGCAGCCAGGCCCCAAAGGGCCCAACTGTTGTAGTCCAAATGTCATGTAAGACCAGACCCTAGTCAGGGTCCAGCCAGCTTCCCACCTGTAATCCAACAGAGTGTGGGGTGTCCAATGGGATCTGCCCCTTCCACACTGTCCCCCAGTGCAGCTTGAGCTATGTATGGGCACAGAGAAATTGTTGTAATTGCAAATGATTTCAGCACACATCACCAGCACTGCCAGATACAGGTGTTTCACCAGGACACATCCCAACTGAGGCTAGGGAGATGGGCAGGAAGATGAAGTGCTGATGGAGGTGGAATAATCCAGTTGCTAACCAGCCACACACTAGCATGACTGTACAGTTATAAAAACAGGCATTTATACACCCTTCCAGTTAAAACCGCTCAAAGGCATGTTGAGAGCTCAGTGGGGGAGGGGAGCAGGAGAGTGCTCTGGAGGGTAAGAAGCAAAGCAGCACCAAGATCAGCTTCTAAAAGAACAAACCAAGTAAGGGAACATCATAAATCATGAAGTGCCAGTCTGTGGCCTCCAGGCAGGTTGATCTATCCATGGACTTGTCTCCTCTCCCAAAGCCACAGCAAACACCCTTCAAGATCTGCATATCAGAGCAAGGAGAAAGCACATGGAGGTGGTTATGGCTCAGCCACAGACATGCAGAAGGCAGACCACTCCAATCTCCTCGCTGTTCCTATGTTAGGGCTGTAGCAAATCCATCAATATAACCAGAGCACAAACACAGCTGCATGACAAACTAAGAGCCTTCAGTCCTTCCAGCCAAGCTGTAGTGATTTGGATCTTTACTGTACAATACCTGTGGAAGGTTTTTAACAGTGGGAGGAAGCTGGCCCTAGCCAGAGGAAGCGTTTAAAAGCTCTTAGACACCTTCACCCCCTCCTCACATACCCCTCATTATGGATTCTTGATTTTCCTATACTGACAGCTCAGAAACAAGAAACGGGATGCACTGCTCAATAGCCAGGCATGTAGAGGAGCTGTAACTCCCTTCCTCCCCCTGGCTATCACATAGCAAATTTTGAGATGTTCCCTCGATGTCTGGCAGTTTGACTGCGAGATCAAAACTCAGTCCCAACCGAAGTGGAAACTTTAGAAGGAAAGATTGTCCAGGATTTTTGACAGAAGTCTGAGAGGCTGGGATACTTCCCATCCCATTTGATGCCCTTAGACCCTCTTGGTCACTTGTTGGTTCCCACTCCACTGCCTTGGCCATTCAGAACTGGACCCAGTTGGACTGCTGAGGAGCCTGATTTGGAACAGCGCTGAAAGGACAAAAAGGCCATCAGAGGGGACAGTTCCAGTCCTGGGATTGCTCTCTCGCCTATGCAGCTCTGCCAGTGCCCCCCAGTTCTGCTCCACAGCCCCCTGCTATTCCAGCCCTAGACTCCCCTCACAGTCCTGCCAGTGCCCCTCAGTCCTGTCCTGCAGCCCCCTGCTATTCCAGCCCTAGACTCCCCTCACAGTCCTGCCAGTGCCCCTCAGTCCTGTCCTGCAGCCCCCTGCTATTCCAGCCCTGGGCTTCCCACACAGCCCTGCCCTCAAATGCTCCCTTCCTTCTCATGTACTTGATGTTCTATCCACTTCCCTGCTTGTTACCTGGATGCAGTGCTGAAGTCCCCCCAGAGGTCTGTTGTGGCTGAAACAGCAGCAGGTGCCTTAGAGATGGATGCAGGAGAGTCCAAATCTAACAGGATATCTGAGGGCAGGAAAAGATAAATACACTCAAATACTATTAATAAAAGGAATTTACAGTCATGGAGTATTTAAATTCCATTATCTGCAAGGTCACTGCTATTGAAAGACACTAAGCATGTGTAGAGGCAATTGTCTCCAGAAGTTATATGAAAGTTCCAGCACTATATCACTAGGGCTACGTCTAGACTGCAAGCCTCTTTCAAAAAAGAGCATCTAGACTGCAAGCAGTACTTTCGAAAAAGCAAGCCGCAGTTCTCTTTCGAAAAAGCCCTGTTTGCATTCAAGAACGCCTTTTTTCAAAAGAACACTTTTGAAAAAAGGCGTTCTTCCTCGTGAAATGAGGAGTACCGCTGTTGAAAGAAAAGCCGCGTTCTTTCGATTTAATTTCGAAAGAACGCGGCTGTAGTCTAGACGCAGGTGATGTTTTTTCAAAAAAGTCTACTTTTTTCTAAAAAACCCTGCAGTCTAGACACAGCCTAGCTATTCTTGCTTGGTCTCCACCATGTTTCCAGCTGAGTTTTGCTGCAAGCATCTCAGGGTTGTGCCATCTTCGTGTCGCATTCAATCCTTATGCACCATCACAACTCTCAGCCTCATTATGGAGATTTAGGCCAAGAACATTAGCTTCATGGCACAGAACTGAGACCCCCACTTGTTGCATGTGTGACACCAAACCGAAGGGAACTACTTTAGATTAGGTGCGGATCAGGGCTGGCCTCAAACCAGTGACCAAATGGGCAACCGAGAGGGCTGGATAGACTCACTGATTCCCAGGTCAGAATGGAGCATGGTTCAGCTAACCCACCCCCTTATGTAACAGAGGCCAGAGCGCTTCCCTAGGGGGAATTCCTGTTTGAACTAGAATAAGTTGCCACAGGCTGGTGATCCCACCTGTCCATGCTCGGCACTTACCAGCATTACCCATGTTGCTGGATTTCAACACTGGTGGCGGCGTCACATGGTTGGAAATGGCTGTCGAAGATGGGGGAGGGACCAGAGGGACAGTGATTTTGCCACCTGGAGGAGGCGGGAGCAGGTTCAGCCCCCCCAGTCCAACTGCACGGGGTTTGAGTGCCCCTCCTTTCTTTGTGGGCATGTTCTGCAATGACAGAGAAATGGGCTGGAAGAGGGTTCTCTAGCAGAATATATGGTTTGGCACAGAGTTGGCTGGGCTGGGGAGATCCTTACCCCAATGCTTAGTTTGATGGTCTGTCCTTCTTTGAACCCTAGGTCCAGCTTGGGGCGTGTGTCAGTTTCCTGGAACTCCTTGGAAATTTCCGTCTCCTGCTTCACCCATCTGGATTCAAGGAAGGAACAGTTGAGAGTCCTTAACAAGTGGGGGCCTTAAAGGGGCCATCGGAAATTTGCTGCTGGGAACCATCTTGTTTGGCTTTACCCCTACCACTATCTTGAAGTGTCAGCACTACAGATGGGGAGCAAAATTCAGGCTACCATGTCCCCAAAAGGACAGACCTTTTAATACTACAGTACATCCCAACCGTCTCATCCTGCCCTGCTGTACAGCAATTGGGAGACTGCCACATCAGAGACTAGACAAGGAGTGGGGAATCTAAGGCTCAGGGGCCAGAGCTGGCCCCTAGCTTGTCTGGATCCAGCCCCTGAGGCTCTCCCCCCCCCCACCCCACCCACCCGCCAGCTTTGGCGAGCCCACACTGGTGCTTCAGCCCACACAGAGCTCAAGTGCCAGTGCCAGCTGCCTGTTGAAGGGGAAGGAACCCTGAGCCTCATGGGCTAGTCAGGAAAGCCAGAGCCAGATCGGATCCACAGGCTCCACCTGACAGGGGAGGAAATGGCTCCATGCACTGCCCTTTCCCCTCCCCTTGGCTGGTGCAGTGAAGTGCTGCCTGGAGGCATTTCCACCACAAAATCCACTAGCCTGGGTCCTCCTACGCTCTGCTATACAAGGAGAACGTGTGTGTGGGGGGGGGGGAAATGTCTTTCTGCTTCTCAGCCAGGGGCCATAGCAGTGAGGGGTTTTTGTTTGTTTTTGCTTCTCACTTGTGCACGGCCCCCAACTGATTTTTCTGTGGGTCAGCAGTCCCTGACCCAAAAAAGGTTCCCCACCCCTGGGCTAGACCAACTCCATGACCCAGGTTAACTCTGAGCTCTTCCTTGAGAGACAGTGTCCTCAAGTGCAGGGCGGGCTACCCAAGGGAATCCTGCCCCCACAGCACCATGGGTGAGCACCCATGACATACTGAATATCAGTAGGTAGAGAAACAATGCCCATGGGGAGGTGGGACTCACTTGAAGTGATCCTGCAGGGAGACATTGAAGTCAAAAGCATCACCCCGGTCTGAGAAGCCGATGCCAATGAAAGCGCTTCGCCCTGGTAGGAAATAGCTGTCAGCAGCAGAGAAGAAGCCTTGCCAATTCCTTATTGGCCCAATGTATCAATTCCCTCTTTGCCTAGACATCACATACCCTCGCTTGCCAATGCGCCAACCCTGCACGGCCTACTGCAACCACCCAAGTCTCATCCATGAGCATATAGCCCAGCCACCTCACCATTCCAAACACACACAACTCAGAGCAGCTAGCACCCATGTAATTCAGTTATCAAGCTATAGCCAGATCACACCTATAGTTCAGGGCAAAGGAGGACTCCTTCGGTGCTCCAGCCCTGAATAGGGTTGCCAGGTGTCCAGTATTTTTGCCTCCTGTCTGGTAAAAATGTCCAGTATTTTGGTTTTTTCCCCCTGCCAGGAAGCAAAAATACTGGACACCTGGCAACCCTACGACACACTCAGCAACTGGGCCAAGCCCACGCCCCTCCCGCCTCGAACCCCTTGCTTACCTGGTTCCGCAGGGAAGCTCTCTTCTGGCTCAACCAAGAAAACAAGATGGTCGCCAGCAAAAAGCCTAAAGACCAGAGCAAGGGGAAGCAATGCCTTCCCTGGATCTTAGTGCTCAACCTCTCCTCTTCCTATCCCTATCCCGACTCTGCATGAACTTAAAGGGGCCATGCTGTTTTAATACTGTTTTGTTTTATTTATTTATTTTTGCTTACTAACTCTTGGGGATCTTTTGTTTTTGCTCAACAACTTTGGTCTTGCCCCCTTCCCCCCGTCCCACCCTCCTCTCCCCCCTGTTCTGTATTTTTGGTTAAACCATCTGGCAACCCTAGCCCTGAAGCACCTACAAGAAAAATAGCGGCACCCACCAGTGGCTAAATTCTCTCCAGGCGGCATGCCTGCGCAGGAGCACACAAAGAAATTTAATCCCATCCACCACCTCAGCAGAACTGCGGAGCAGCATTCACCTTCCTTGGACGTGGCGGGTAAGTGGTAGCCGTGGGCTGGGTGGGGGAGTGGGGGACCAAGGCCACATAGTGGTTGCTCAGCTGCTTCTGGGACAGGCTGCATGGCAGCCGGGCTGCGGTGCGACTGCTCCAGGGGCCAAGTTCGGGGTGTCCCATGTCCCCTGTCCCAACCCTTGGTGTATCCACACTGCAGTTCAGGCTCTAGCTCCTGCAACCACCACACAGAAAGGCTGAAGTTGGGGCCAGGGCTGCATGGTGGCTGCCCAGCTGCTCCTGGGGCAGGACTGTGAGGCAGGGGGCTGCCCTGTGTGCTGGGGCTGGAGCCAGGGCTGCAGCCCGGGCTGCAGCCCAGCTCCGGCAGCCCCTCAACTAGCTCTTCATGTCTCTGGTGGACAGGCCTCAGTGCCCACGCTTTGGGGGAATGCTTCTGTACTTAATGCTAGTTTTTGAATGCTCTCATCTTGACCTTTGGCATAAATCTTCTGAAAGTTCAAATTTTCTTCTTCTCTCTCTCTGTCTTTTCCTGCTCCCTTCTCCCACTTTGCTTTCTCTTCCCATATCTACCCTTTTGATCTATGCACTCTCTCACCCCATCTTCATTATCTGGTTGGTTGGCCTCAAACACTTATGACAACACTTCTTGTCCATTCACAGGTCTGTCTTCCATACGATATACCTCCTTGCTCTTGTCTTGTACCCTATTCCATCACACTAAACATGAGGCCTCAGTGTACACACGACACTCCTACCTTGTTACACTGCAGCCCTGGCCCCAGGAGCAGCTGCACCATAGCCTGGCTCCAGCTCTGGGAGGAGCTGGGCAGTCACTATGTGGCCCTAGCCACAGCTCCAGCCCTGGGGAAGGGCTCTCACAGCTGAATGGACTAAACAGAGGTACTGAATCTTTAACAAAGAAATCCCTTTCCCAAAACGTTCATCATTAATTTTTTAAAACAATGTAATTAAAAATTAAACACCACAAAGAGCAAGATTTTCAGCCTCTTATTCTCATACTTGAAAAGTCTTGACTCTTTAAATGAAATAGCTGGAAAGGGACCTTCATTTTCTGTTCAGATCCTGTGGATGTTTAATTTATGCTTGGGGAAAGGTATGATCTGGTTCTCAGACCAAGAAGTTGCAATTACCATGATTTATAACGAGGCCTGCCAAACAGGGAACAGATTTTTCTAAAAGTGGTTGGGTAGCTCCATATTGGGAACTAAGGCTACCTAGTAATGGGAGTGGCCATTGCAGCTTGGTTTCAGATACCCATCTGGCAGTCAAGGGGCTAGTATGAAAGCTAGAATATCATAGACATGAGTCATGTTAAAGGAAATAGGATTGTTCAAATAAAGAGGAAGAAAGGTAATGTGGTTTTTAGGTAAAGCTTACAGAAAAAGAACAGGAGACAAAAGCAAACAAATAAGTTAGGCACAGGTTAAAAACCAAAGGAAAAATTAGGTAGGGCTATCAAGCAAACACAAACACTAGGCAAGAGTCCAAAGGAAACTAAACAAAGATTCATGCACACAAGGGGAAATTAAATAGTAGGGAAGAAATTGCATATGGCATCTCTCCATGCCCTGTACAATGTCAGGTTAGATCCAACTCTTCGGTGCAGGAGACTGAGCTGACATGTGTAAAGTACACGAGACCACACACACACACACACACACACCCTAAAAACTAAAGATTTATTGATATTTCTCCAACTCATCTGATGAAGTGGAACATACCCACGAAAGCTCAGAATCCTAAAATTCTGTTAGTCTTTAAGGTACCACAGGACTACTTGTTGATTTCGGATATGGTTAATCAATTTGTTATATTCAACTAAGGATGTTAAGTGGCATGTAATTCACAAATCAAATAGTAGATGCATTTTTGCACTGACTATTCAATTAGTCGATGGGCAGTGCTGCCCCTTTGAAATGCAGACACTGAAAGGGGGTACTGGGTATGCACAGTCCTGGGCTTCGTGTGGCTCTACCCCTTTGAAGTACCCCCCTTTCCCCTGCCTCCAATAGTTGACTATCCAATAAGCATTTACTAGTTGACTAGTCCTTAATACCCCTATATGCAATGCAGCAGTAACTTGCTGAGCAAGTGATTTGCTCAAGTCATTGATTTGAAGCTTCTGTAGAACAGTACACGTCCCCATGCACAGATATGAGGCTTATAACGAAAGATGTACTGTAAAGCTGCCTAATTCATAAAAGCAATCTAACAAAAAAGTCATATGACACTTGCAAATTTCAATGGCTCCAATCCAAGCAAGAGCTGCCAGTCCTTATAGATGATTTTCAAGAAATGCAAGTCAGACATACAGGAAACACAGAGATGGAAACATTGTGTAATATAACCAAAGAGAAACCAAAACTAAACTAAAAATCTTCAAGGAATAACTAACTCAGCACTAATTAGTAATAAATGCATTATATCACAGGATGAAACAGAACTGAGTAGAAACTTGGTGGCTCAAGAAGCATATTTGACCAGTTATGAATTTAAAAAACAGATCAAACTGTTACAACATTTTACAGAGTTCAACATTAACCTATCCTATCCAACTGAGTTCAGTCTCGCTCTGATATAGGAAGTGTGGGCTCCAGCCATTCTACAGATATGCAAAAGGTGAAGAACCACCAACTGATAGTCAAAACACATACTTAATAGAGCTGCGGCCAGGGCTGCGGCCAGGGCTGCATGGTGGTTGCTCCGTTGCTCCTGGGGTACCACATTGGCCACTAAAAATTCTCAAGTATTAGTTTTATTTTTACAAGCACACAAGACAAAACTCACTCCGCTAGCAGATGGAAAGTCTTAGGAGGGAACATTGACCAGCAGCCCTGTGGATCGCACCTCCTACCTGCTGATGGGCCTCTTACCCACCATGATCGGCTTCCTCAGCAGCAGTCCGGAGTAGGGATGTAATACTATAGGGCTACATCTACACTGGCACCCTTTTCCGGAAATGCTTAAAACGGAACAGTTTTCCGTTATAAGTATTTCCGGAAAAAGCGCGTCTACATCGGCAGGATGCTTTTCCGGAAAAGCGTCTGTGGCCAATGTAGACGTGCTTTTCCGGAAAAAAGCCCCGATCATGCTTTTTTGTGGAAAAGACTACTGTGCTGTCTACACTGGCCCTTTCCGGAATAGTTTTTCTGGAAAAGGACTTTTGCCTGAACGGGAGCAGCATAGTTTTTCCGGAAAAACACTGACAATTTTACAGTAGATCGTCATTGCTTTTCCGGAAAAGCAAGCGGCCAGTGTAGACAGCTGGCAAGTTATTCCAGAAAAGCGGCTGCTTTTCCGGAATAAGTGGCCCAGTGTAGACACAGCCTAGTCGATTAACCAATAGGCAAAAGCTTATAGGTTAATGCTATAGACTACACGCATTTCTCCCTATCCCTTGACAATAAATTTTTTAGCTAGCTGGCCAGCAGTCCAGCTCAATTCTGGCTCACACTGGGTCCTAGACCTACCCCACTGTGGCTCTGCATTTAAAGCGTATTAGAAGCCAGGTGGGCAGGCAGCCTGGCTCAGTTCTGGCTCGTGCCAGGTCCAGGAGCTCAGACCTCTCCCTCCTGGACAGGGGCTGCCTAGGGACTATAGAATAGTCAACTAACCGATAAGAATTCATGAGGATTCTTGCCCACAGCAGCAGCATGTGCATATAATTTCGGTCCTTGGAGCTTTGCATAGGCAAAGGTAGAGGATCATTTAAATCCTGATAGTCTCCACAGTGGCAAAAGTTTTCCAGACAGAAGAAAGGTTTCTCACCAGTGAATTGATGACTTTCAACAGACTGCATATGAATTTACCACCCCCATCTCCACAGGATGGTCACTTGAGCCAGGATGTCATGGGGCGTTCTTGCATTACAGCAAGATATATGGAAGTTTGTTTTCTACCTTCAGCAAGGACAGCTAAAAACCATGGCTGACTATATAAACTGTAGTCAGACAATGATCCTTTGCAATGTATCAGCTATGATTAAAGCTTTATCTTCCCCCAAACCTTCAGTTCTAGATACTTTCCTATAAACTGACGTTTTAAAAGTTAGGAATACCTCCTTAACAGAACAAAGAACTTCTCCCCACACTTGATACATTTGCATAGAGCTCTCTTATGTTATATTTAAGGGTTAGTTTAAGCAGTGTTTCAGTGAACAGGATCTGTTCAATTGTACCAGGCTATGAGTTATTCTACTTTGTAATTTATACAAGCTTAATCAAATTTATTATCTTTGACAACAATGCGAGTGTTCTGAATGCTAAGTGCTTTTTTTTTTAGAAGAACATAATTAATTTTCCATCCCTGTCTGAAAATGCTTAGTGGTCAGTTCCGTCATTGAGATTTATTAAGAATATGTAAATCTGGCATTATGAGCAGCAATTAAAAATAAAGTTGCTGTAACTGTAACGTCTGCTAATACTTGTATTGCTCCTTTCTGAAATGGTACAAGGTTGAGATCTTAAAATCTTTTTTTTAAAGGTTTTGTTAATACTCCCTGGGAAAATAAGTTGGCTGTATGAAAACATAAACCCTTTTTTTACAATGCCTTATAGAATAATATATTGATATAGTAACTTCTCCTACTTAAATCATCCAACAGAGCTCTCTACTTTTGTCTCATCCATCTTGATTGGGATTTATATGTATCATAGATCAGAAATAAAATTTAATTTTTTAATTATTAGCTCTAAAAGGGTTTCAGATTAACTCAGTGAGCTCATTTCTCCATATGAAGATAAAACTCCAGCAGAATTTTTCTGAGTGGAAAGTGTATATTTCCCAGAGATTAATATTATTTAACCAACAATAGGTCATCCCCCTAAATAGGTTATGTTTCTTCTTAAAGATGAATGCAGGAAAATTGATAGGACAGTCTTGAAAGACACCAATATTCATGTCTTGGTCTGTTGGTTTCATTCAGTACAGCCCGGTTTGTGTAGAAATAGGCCTGTCCTGATAAAATATATCAGACCAGGGAGACGCGGAGCAGCTTTTCTTGCCCCGGAGTACACGGGCGGCAGGACCGCGAGGTCCCGCAGTCCATGTCCTCCGGGGCGAGAAAAGCCCCGTTCATACCTGCAAGTCAGGGACTGCCTGTATGTTTATACCTGGCATATAAGACGACCCCCGATTTTTGGGGGATGTTTTTTAGTATAAAAAGTCGTCTTATACACCGGAAAATACAGTAGATATTTATATGGCCAGGAATAGCATCTGCAGTGACAGTTAAGATAAAAATTACTAGGGCTATCAAAACTTACACTTCATAGTGTAAGCCAGTCACACCAGTGACTTTAAGAAAATGGAGTTTGATAATCATATCCTGCAATTCCAGATGATATAAGGTCCATCTATAGGTAAAGAGAAAGATTTGCTAACCAAGAATGTTAGATATTGATTATTCAACTAATCGTGTAAATGCATCAAAACCTAGTGGTTATTCAATACTCTCCAGGGGGTAGGGCCAGCAGCCAGTGCACTCCCAGCCCCACTCATGGGAAGCCCCGTGCCATTCTGCACTGCTGCTTCTGTTTAAAGACTAGCTCCCCATACAAAGCGGCTCTCTCACCTGCCACCCGGTGCAGCTGCATCTGATTCCCCATGGACAGAGGTTGTGCCAGCGTCCCACAGAGCTCCACAGTAGCCTCCCCTACACACTGATAGAGAAGCAGCAGCACGGGGGGCGGGGGCTGGGTGATAAGCGGTTCTCTGGAAGTTGATACGTGCGGGGAGCTGGCTTAAATGCCAGCTTTCCATGTGTACCGGCTCCCGCCTGCCCCCCTCACCCTCTGCACTGCTACCTCTCTATCAGAGGCAGAGGCATGGGAGGGTGGGGCAACAGGTGGCTGTGCAGGATCTGGTGATAATGGGGAAGCAGACTTAAAAGTTGGCTCCCACCCACCCCCCTTTCTGCCTCTTGTATAGAGGCAGCGGGGGGAGAGGTGTGTCCATGTGGTCGATAGGATTTATCAATAAGCCCCAGCATATCATTTTATCGTGTAATTGTCTACACATGGACATCTCTATTGCTAACTACTAGCCATGGAAATTCATCCCAGGATGTGAGGTTCAAGATGAATTCCTTCTGGCTCATACACCACTATGAAAAGGCTCTGTGCAGGCGAAGCTCCGCTTTTAGCTAAAGTCCATTCTCTCTTGCTGTCAGAAGTTGTGCAGGTGTAACTGAGGACAGGAGTCAGGCTGGGAATTGAAATTATTTATTTTGAATCAAAACAATCTGTATAAATTAATCCCCAAACTTCTGCAACAGGGAAAGAAGATTTTCCTCCATAAAAAAAAAAAAAAACAATGAAGCACATGAGGCAGGTTTCAGTTCTGATGCTCAGAGAAGCACAGCATCCACTACCCCAGCAGAAGCCAACAAAGATGCAAGTGCTCAGCATCCCTCAGCCAGACTCCACTGACTTGCTCAAAGAGAGTCGGTGGGAGGGCAGGTATTGTACATAGGAGCATTTGCTCTCCAGCCCTCTGCTTATCCAGGCTGAGCAAGTGGCTCTGACTCCAAACAATCCTGTGACAGCTCAAGAGCCCAGCTCCCTCTTCCATGGCCACCCCGCATCTGCCGGGATAATGGGAGGTAAAACACAGATGCCACTCAAGAGAGCAGGTACCGCATGACTCAGGGGCGCGCACACAGCAGGACTGGTGAATACGGGGCCATTTTCCCTTCCCTTCCCTTGCAGCATCAGCCCCCCGATCCGCGCAGCGCCTGGACTCGGGCTGAGGCTGCGACACGGCCCGGCGTGCGGGCAGTGAAACTAGCCGGGATAATGGGAGGTAAAACACAGATGCCACTCAAGAGAGCAGGTACCGCATGACTCAGGGGCGCGCACACAGCAGGACTGGTGAATACGGGGCCATTTTCCCTTCCCTTCCCTTGCAGCATCAGCCCCCCGATCCGCGCAGCGCCTGGACTCGGGCTGAGGCTGCGACACGGCCCGGCGTGCGGGCAGTGAAACTAGCCGGGCGGACGGGGAGGGGCAAAACGGCATCGCCGGAGCGGCCTCTGCTCCGCTGCCCATGTTGAGACTGAGGCGGGGGGAGAAACACGCGTCTCGCAGG